ATCCCCGGTACCGATAAAAAGGAAAAAGACAAAAAAAAAATTTTTTTTTGAGGCAGTGCCTTACCTTTTTCTGTGTTTCAATTTCTCCACATTCTTGCCTACATTTGTTATTTTGGGGGATTTGTTTGTTTTGTTTATAACACCATCATAACTGTTGTGAAGGGGTATTTCCTTGTGGGCTAGATTTGGACTTTGTAATGAGTAGTGATGTTGATCTTTTCATAATCTTTTGGCAATTTGTATATATTCCTTGAAGAAATTTATTTTTTTAGGAAGAGTCTCAGTGTGTGGTTTAGGCTGGCCTCGAACTCGAGGTGATCCTCCTGCTCTAGTCTCCCAAGAGTTGGGTTTACAGCTGCGTACCACCATGCCCAGGCAGAAATATCTTTTAAAATCCTTTACCAATTTAATAAATTTGCTATTTATCTTTTTACACCTATGCTTTAAAAGGTCTTTGTTTATTTAGATATAGGCCCTTATCAGAAATACAAAAATATTTTGAAAATATTTTCTTCCTGTCAATTATCTTTTCATTTTTTTGATTCCATTTTTTGATACATCAGGTTTTAAAATTACTTTTGATGATATAGAGTCTGTTGAAAAATGTATATATACTTCAAAAGTTCATTATACTTCTATGTCTGGAAGCTAATGGCCACCAATCTGACTACCTCTTGTAATTGTAGGCCAAAGTTCACTTGTTTGAATATCATGATGTCTCAATAAATTTAGTATTAAAACACACAAGTTTTTCTTTTCCTGATATAAATACTTTTTGGCAATCTCTCTCTCTTTTCTCTCTCTCTCTCTGTATATATATAATATAACATTTATAATTAATATATATATGTTCTGCCTAATAAACTATATGGCCTAATCCAAAGCCACAAAGATTTAACCCTATGTTTCTTCTAAGAGTTTTGTAATTTTATTTCTTACATTTAATTCTCTGATCTTTTTTTAATTAGTATTACATATACTATTAGATATGCTCCAATTCCTTCTTTTACTGGTGAATATCTAATTGTCCTACCACCATTTATTGAAAGACTGTTTTTCCTTGTTGGTAGACTTGTCAAAACTTAATTGCTCATACATATGAAGCTTTATTTCAATTACAGTTCATTGACATATATGTGTGTTCCTATGCAAGTATTGTTTTATATTGATTGTTGTAGCTTTGTAGAAATTTTGAAATCAAGAAGTGTGACTTCTCTAATTTGATTCCATTTCAAGACTGTTTTGGCTATTCTGGACCCCTTGACTTTACATATAAATTTCAGCATAAACGGTTTTAGGAAGAAAAACAGCCAGAATCCTGACAGGAATTATGTTGTATCTATACATCAAGTTGGGACTGTTGTCACTTCTATCAGTGAATGTGGGCTATCTTTCCCCTGATTTACAACTTCTTTAATTGCTTTAATTTTTTGCAGTTTTCAGTGTACCTGTTGCATGTATTTTGTTAAATTTGGCCCTATATAGTTTAGCTTTTCTTGAGTCTATTATAAATACAATTGTTTTTGTTTTGGCACTGTTTTTTACTCATGCATAGAAATGCAATAGATTTTTGTATATCGATCTTGTGTCCTACAACTTGCTGAACTTAATCCTAATTTTTAAGTTCCTTAATATTTTCTATACAAAAGATTATTTCATTTGCAAATAGATAGTCCCACCACTGGAATGCTTTGTTTCTTTTCTTTTCTTTTTTTCTTTTTGAGATATGATCTCCCTATGAAGTTCAGGCTGGGCTTCAGCTCAGTATGTAGCCCAGGCTGGTCTTGAATTTGGAATGATACTCCTGCCTCAGCCTCCCAAGTGCTGGGATTGCAACATGCACCACCACACCCAGTTTGGAATGCTTTATTTCTATTTCCCACATTGAATAGGAATAGTGAGAGGGGACCTTTTAGCCTTATTATTGATCTTAGAAGTAACATGTTCAACTTTTCACTGCTGGCTATTATGTTAGCTGTGATTTTTGATAAATATCCTTTATTAAGGTGAAAAGTTACATTTTACTCCTAATTTTTTTTTTTTTTTTTTTGGTACTAGGGATTGAACTGGTGACCTTGTGCTTGCCGGGCAGGTGCTTATGCCGCTGAGCTAAATCCCCAGTCCACTCCTAATTTTTAAGGTAAGATTTTTTTCCAATTCTTTGGGGATATGGGTGCAGGAGATAGAATTCAGGGCCTTGTGCATGCAGTGCGAGAACTCTACCACTGAGCCACATCCCCAGCCCACAGACATTTTCAAATGTTTACTGAATTGTATTGATTTTTGATTTTTGGATGCAAAGTAAACTTATATTCTGTAATAAGCCCCATTAGTGTGATGTATAATTTTTTTATATATTGCTGAATTTGATTTGCCAATGTTTGGTAATTTTTCTATTTCTGTTTATAAGAGATGATGGTTTTGTTGTTATTGTTGTTTTTCTTTTAATACTGGGAGTGGAACCCAGGACTTCATGCACTCTAAGGAAGAATTCTACCACTCAGCCATATCCCCTTCTCCTTTTATTTCAAGACAGGTTCTCACTAAGTTGCCCAGACTGGACTCAAACTCTTGATCCTTTTGCCTCAGCCTTGCAGGTAGCCTAGATTTCAGGGGTGCACCACCGTGCTTGGCTGAGATGATGGTTTTTTATTTTCTTCTTTTACGATGTCTTTGTTTGATTTAGTGTTGGCCTCAGAATAAATTGAGATATCTTCCCATCCTTTCAATTTGGGGGGGAATTTTGAAATGGATTGTTATTATTTCTTCATTAAATATTTTGTTAGAATTCACCAGTGAAGCCCTGTGGTCATAAACATTTCTTTTTGAGAAATTTAAAAGCTGATGTAAAAAAATTACAGATTCACAGCTGGGCATAGTGCACACACTTGCACTCCCAGGGCTCTAGGAGGCTGAGGTAGAAGGATAGAGACTTTGAGGCCATTCTGGGCAATTTAGTTATTTAGTAAGCCTTATCTAAAAAAAAAACTGTAATAATGAGAATGTAGTTTGGTGTTTTACTGGTTATTTAGATTTTATTTTTCTATTTCTTCTTGAGTCTTGAGTTTTGGTTATTCTGGTTTGTGTCTTTCTCGTAATCTGTACATTTCATGTAAGTCATACTTTTTTTGGTGTACAATTGCACATAATATCACTTATAAACTGGGAATGGTGGCACATGCCTTTAATTCCAGCAGTCTGGAGGCTGGGGCAGAAGGATTGCAAATTGAAGTCCAGTATGGGTCACTTGGTGACTTAATGCATAGGCATGTACAAGAGCTTACCCAACACCTGGCAGCTGATGGCTCTGTTGGAGCCCCTACCAGAAGGGGTTTGGTGCTCCTAAGTAAGGGAAAACCAGGCACTGTCTTGGATTTAACTCCTTTATATATTCCTTTATATATTAAAGGATTTTATCAATAGAAATATACCCATCTCTTGTCTTTGAAAGCCTTTTTTTGGTCTAAATCCTAATTGTCTACTATCTATTAGGCTTCTGAGTAATGGGAAGGATTTAAAGAAATAGAAGCAATCTAAAAGAGAATGTGTGCTGGGCATGGAGGTACACAGCAATAATCACAGCACTCAGGAGGCCCAGGCAGGGGGGTTTCTGTGAGTTCGAAGCCACCCTGGGCTACATAAGCAAGTTTAAGGCCAGTTTGAACTACATAGAGAGACCCTGTCTCCAATAAGTAAGTAAGTAAGTAAATAAATAAATAAACAAACAAGATGACTTGTATGATTCTTATTGTTTATGTGACACATGGATGGACTGGAACAAAAGACTATTATCCTTGAGATGTTGGGTCAGGAATTGTAAGAGTCGGTGTGTTAAAGGCCTGGTCTTCAGGGTTGCATGACTGGGGAGACGGTGGAACCTATAGTAGGTAGAGCCCAGGGAGTTAAGTGACTGGGCCCATGCCTGTGAAAGTGACTGTGGCACCCCAGCTTCCTCTTTCTCTTTTCTGCTTCCTGGTCATAAGATAAGCAGTTCTCTCTGGAGCATCCTCATCACCATTGCCCCCTGGCATCCCCATCACAGGCCCAAAGCAATGACTCTGCCAATCTTGGTGTAGAACAGCCAAAACCATGAGCCAAAGCAAAGCTTTTCTCTTTATAAATTAATTATCTCAGGTATTTTATTACAGTGATGGGATGCTGACTAGTGCACAAAAACAGGGTATATTTTGAGCTCTTCCTTAAAGGATACACAGAGAAAGGGGGCAGATTTCTGGATGTGATGTAGTTGGGGTAATTTGAAGGGAAAAAAGTAGAAAATATACAATACATTTAGAACAATGACAAGTAGGTCAGTTTGGTTGAGATTTATAAGGTAGGGACTAGACAAAGAAATAAAATGATGAAATGTCTGGTGGAGAAGGGTGTGGGGGGCTTTCAACTCCAGACCTGGTGGGTACCTCTGAGCAGGGAAATGTCTTTATAAAAGCAATGGGAATTTAAGTTTGGAGAGGTAGTGATGGAAATGAAGGAGACATGCAGAACACATTATAACAAGTCAATAAGACTTGGTGACTTTTTACCTCTTAGGTAAAAATAGGGACTGATGCTAGATGAAATGGAGAAAGGAGCCCTGCTTAATCCAAGGGTGTTCTTTGTTATTACAAAGCATTTTTTGTGGTAACTGTTCCTATGCTTTGAATGTATCCCTAAGAGCCATGTATTGGAAACTTAACTCCCAAAGTTATATGTTAATGATACTTAGAAGTGGGGTCTTTGTGTGATTGGGTCCTGAGGGTTTTACTAGCATGATGGATTAATCTTCTCACAGATTAATGGATTAATGGGTATTCAAGGGAGTAGCTTTGCTATAAAAGCAAACTCTCTCAGTTGCTTGCTCTGTCTTCCCATGGATTCCCTTTGCCATGGTACAATGCAGCAGGGAGGGCCTTGCCAGATGCTGAGCAGAGGCTAACGCCATGTTCTTGGGTTTCCAGAACCATCTGTGGTATTCAGCAATAGCAACAGAAAACAGACCAAGATAATTGTTTTATTATGAATGAAAAACATTTGCATGACATATTCTAGAAAATAGAGAAAACACATAAATAGGCACATACAAGGTCTCTAGAAAAACATTCTAGAAAATCACTCATTATCACAGTACCCTCTCATGTGGTGGATTAACTAATGGTCCGCTTGGAACACCCAACTGAACGGAATCAGTGTGGAGCTGGATGTGGAAGGCCCACCTGAGGATTGTTGCCAACAGCATAAGGAGAGAACTGGAGGGGAAGATGGTGTGATGTTGATTCTCTGGAGAAGAAGCTGGCTTTCCTCCTTTGAGCTCTGCTGTTCTCATTGTTGGAGGAGTTCAGGACCTCACTGTCATTGAGGATGGCTGCAGCTCTGATCTTTACTTTGAGTGTCATTTGTTGGCTCCAGTGCAGATCCTTCGGCCTGTTGGCACAGATCCTTTATTCCACTGGTGCACACTTTCCTATAAATTATATTAAATCCATCCCCTTGTAATCCCTGAATACAGCATTATTTGTCAATTTTTTTTTTTTTTTTTGGTACCGGGAATTGAACTCTCAACCTTGCGCTTGCCAGGTAGGCACTTACACCACTGAGCTAAATCCCCTGCCTGATATTTTGTTTATTCTTTCAGTTCTTTTATCATGGAGCACTCTCTCTTTCAACATATCTATTTTTTTTTTGTCTTTTTCCTTTTTTTATCAGTACCGGGGATCGAACTCACGACTGCCTGCTTGCAAGGCAGACGCTTATGCTGCTGAGCTAAATCCCCAGCCCTCAACATATCTATTTTATCTAATGACCTAGTAGGTAACAAGTAATGTTTCCATTTATTTTCAAAGACAAATAGCATATGATATTTAAATATATACTATATTTGAGATCATATTTATGAAAGTTGTTTGTGGGAATTTCTGAAAATACATAAGAAAATAAAAATCTGTGTTTCTAAAGTAACTTTTTATTTTGTTATCAGTTAAACCTCGGATTGTGAATAACTTGTCCTGCAAGTGTTCCATGAGACAAGAAAATAGTTCTAATAAATTTTAACTTGATAAATAAGTGATGATGTTCAGTAAGAGTAGTATGTGACAATGAATGTCTCATGACCACAACTGAGCCAATGGTTGTCTTTCCTTTCCCTCCCCTTCTCCATCTCCCTCTTTCTGCCTTTCTCCTTGAGGAGCTGTGTGGTCAATCTCCCAACAGCAAGAGATTATGGAGAGATCTCATCTACAGAGGAGGAGAAGACAGAGGAAACTTTCACTTCAGATGAGATCAGGGAAATATGTAAAATGTGGGAAACAGTACAAAGTTTTATACAAAAGCATTGTTTGAATGAGGTTGTTCAGTGTGAGTGATGAATCTATTTAACGACAATGCAATGCCACATTGCCATGAAATCCTCAAAAGGAGTCAAAGGCAAGTATCATCAGATAGGTTTTGTGTTACAGTTACATGAAAAAAAGATTTCATTGAGTCAATAGATAGTGATAGTGATATTAATAGAGAAAGTTGTCCTACACAATAACCCTCCTCTCTTTTGGCTCCCTCACACCAGCCAAGAAGGTTTTCAAAGGTAAGTGCAGGTTAATTTGTTTATTTTTCCTTATATTTTTGTATTGTAGTACAGTGTTGTAATCATTTTTATATGAATATTTTTGGGTTGTAGAATGAATCATTTGAATTTCCATTACTTCTTAAAGGGAAATTCACTTTGATATACAAGTGCTTTGGATTTTAAGCATATTTCTAGAACCAATTATGCTTGCAAGCCAAGGTTTTATTGTAACTGAGATAACATTTTGACTCACAGTTTTGGAAGTTTGAGTCTGTGACCAATTGATCCTATTGCTTTGGGACTGTGGTTTGGTAGCACATTTTGGTGTAGAACCATGGAACAAACTATTCATTTCATGGCTCTGCAGGAAGAGGTGAAGTCCTAATGTCCCCTTCAAGTACATGACTCTCAATGACCTATGACCTCCCACTAGGCCCTCCTTCTTAAAGATTTCTTCCTAACAGGGGCTGAAGCCTTAAGTACATAGGCCTTTGGGGGACACTCAAAACCCAAGCTATAGCACAATGTTAAAGTTAAGATCTGTGCATTTTACTTATACAGTTTACCTTTAGGCTGGATGTTGTGGCACATACTTGTAATTCCAGCACTTGGGAGGCTGAGGCAGAAGGATTGCCACGAGTTTGAGGCCAGCCTGGGCTATACAGTGAGTTCAGGGGCAGCCTGAACAATACAGCAACAACCTGTCTCAAAAAGAAGACAAAAAATGACCTTTAAATGATTTGAACTCACAACTACCTAGGTTGCAACATTTAGGGGCAAAGTATACTGATGGCTGGAGCTTACTTTAAAAAGCATTAAAGAGTAAGATGGGTTGATATGTGGATAGAGGGATGGATAGAGACACTCATGTATGTTAAGTAAATACAGCAACCTGTTAATTACAGAACCCATTGTGCATGAAACCATATCACACATTTCTTTCAGCTTTCCTGCATGTTTGACATTTTTTGCAATAAATTTATGAGAAAACCATTGTGATGCAGTTAAAGAATGAATATTTTAGTAGAAAAGCATAGTGGGAAGTTTTAGTGTGGTGAGAGGTATCAGAAAACAACCAGAAATAAATTCATAAATTCAGGATTCGGTGATGAATCTGAGCTAGCCTCCATCTTCTGTTCTGTACAAGGCACTCAAAAACTGGTACATACATGCTTGAATGATTTTATTGAACACATACTATATGCCAGGCACTGTTCTAGGTACTGGGGCTATACTGGTGAGGAAACCCAACGAGGGATTTGGCATACAATCTAGGAGATAACATAAGAGTGCCCAGTTGTACCTGAGCCCCTTCCATCCTCTTCCACCCATGCCCCTTGCTTCCCTACTGCCCCTGAACTGTCCCTCTGACCTTAAGTTGGATCGCCCCACTCTTCCTTCCACCATTTTCCGCAGTTCTGGTTCCACAAGGGTAGGTGCTTTGTTCACCGCTCAATAACCAACCACCATTGAGCACGTTAGGAATGTTCATAATTTGCTAAATAAATGTATGAATGAAAATTATGCTTTCATTAGTATTCTTTCTCCTCCCCAAGTCCTCACTCCCTTGTTCAGGCCTTTGACTTCCCTGTTCTTGCTACAAAGTCTTTTATCTGTTTTGTTTTGTTTTTGAAATGCATTCTTGGTGAGGCGCCCAGGATGGCTTCTGACTCCTGGGCTTAAGCCTTCCTCTTGCCTCAGCCTCCTGAGTCGTGGGACCACAGGTACCTACCACTTCGATCGGCTATTTTTTTGGTCCTTTTGCATTCTTTCCCAACATTAGTCTCTGTTGAAGTATTATCTTCTAGAGAAGCCTGCCCTGATGGTTTTGCTAATCCCTCATTTATCATCGCATGTGTTTTAAGATACTTTTTCTCTGTAAAGAAAAGGAAAAGCAGCTAATGCAGAGGTACACACTACTTATTTACACATTTACATGAAAATTACTGGTTTTACTGAGGTGATGCTGTGTTTGGTGTTCGCACGGTATTTGTGCTTTTAGTCTCCGGACACTCACCAAGAAGCAGAAAGTCTTTCACCGTACACATCAACTTGCTTTGATTCCTTTGTCCTTTAGTCTGTCTCCCCTTCTAAAATTTAAGTTCCACGATGGCTGGAACCATGTCTGTTTGGCTCACAGCCAGACACAGTTAGTACTCAATGAATATCTAAGGACACAGGTCTGTTCCAGGCGTGTACGGTGCCCCCGTGTTCCGCTGCTGCAGCTGGAGGAGGCGGTCCAGGCTCCTTCCTGAGACAATAGACAGCGAGAATGGGAGCGTGTGGACCTCCCAGGGGCCGCCCTCGAAGCCACGCCTTCGGGCCCCACCTCCGCCGGGCGCGGGTCCCTTTAAGGGCGGCACGGCCGTGCGGTGGGCGGGGCGCGCGCTGCGCCTCGCTCTGGAGCCGGAGTCTGCGCGCTCGCGCCCAGCCCGCCCAGCGCCCGGCTCCCGCGCACCGCCGCTTCTCCTCAGCCGGCAAGTGTCGCTCCTCGGCGGCTGTCATGTCTCCCGGCCGGCCCCGGCAGCACGGCGCGGCCCAGGCTCCGGCGCCCACGGCCGGTACCCGCGAGGGGCCATGATGCGGCTGGGCGGCTGGTGCGCGCGGCGGCCTCGCGGCGCGGCGGGCTCGGCGGAGCGGCGCGGGGCGTCGGGGGGTCCGGGCGGCCGCGCCCTGCGGGTGCTGGTGGACATGGACGGCGTGCTGGCGGACTTTGAAGGCGGTTTCCTCAAGAAGTTCCGTGCGCGCTTCCCCGACCTGCCCTTCGTCGCTCTGGAGGACCGGCGCGGCTTCTGGGTGTCCGAGCAGTACGGCCGCCTGCGCCCCGGGCTGAGCGTGAGCACCCCCGCCCCCGCTCCCTGGCCTTACCGCCCCCGGTCGGGGAAACTGAGGCAGCCCGCCCAGCCCGTGGCCGGGGCAGCCTTTTGCGCGGGCTTTGGAGTCCGGCAGCCCGAGTGACCTTGGATGGGCGGGTCACCGCGCCAGTCTTGAGGTCCTCATAAAATAGAGTCCCGGGAGGATGGAAGTGACCGCGCGCGCTGGGAGGGCGCTGCCCTGCGCTCAGCTACGGTTGGCTGTCATCGCGGGCTCCTAATGATAACATACTGTACCTAACTCTTATTTTCAGCAGACTTTAGATTTCTGGCCTCAGGTAGTTCGTTACATTTTTGAAAGACTAAACTAAACATTCTAAATTAAGTGTTGTTTTACTCCTACCACGATAACATGGCTGTTTCTTTCTCCCTATGAATTTGACAGGTGTCCTTATCGTTCTTTTTTGATCCTATTTTGTTTTTGAAAGCAGAGCTTCCAGTGATATTGGAGGCCCAGAAAGGGTGGATGAGCCTGTCCTGTTCTAATGCTGGCATTGCTGAACCCTTGACACCCTCCCCCCACCCCTGTACCGTGCTTGGATAGAGGGAAATAACCAGGCAGGGAGCTCGGGCTGTAAATTGTGAAAAGAGCACCGGGTTTTGCCATGCACAAACTAGAGACTAGGGGTTTTCTGACATCAGTCTAGGGGTCACTGTCAGAGGGTTCGATGGTGGGCAGGAGGAGCAGGAGGATTAGGGAATTTTGTAACCCTAAATTGTTTACTTTATCTCTTCTGTAAGTAGGCATTGTTATCTCCTCTGTGCAGATGAAGAAGACTCTTGCCCCAATTCCTGTGATAGGAAGAGGCCCAGGCAAAATTCAAGTTCATGTGGCTGCCTGTCCAGCACACTTAGCTTTCCTAACCCCAGGTCTTGTTCTCTGTCTGCTCCGTGAGCAACATTTTTTTGAACTTCAACAAGACTCTTTCGTTATAATTTAGTTTGCTGAGGGATAGGTGTTGAAAAAAGAGATTGAATGCCATTTCTTTTCATTCACAGCAGACTCTTCCAAAGCTGACTTCCATGGAGCTGTGTACTCTGATCTCTCCTGGTGCTGAGACCTAATTAAAAATTTTAATCTGGAAGAAATAGCCATGTCATTCCTGCAACCTCAGTGATAGGCCCTGCACTGTATGTTCATTTGCAGATGAGTGCCTAGCATCAGGACTAGGGGCACCTTGTTTCCTCCCTGGAGTGTTTTAGTGGAATGGAGTTAAGTCCACCCCATCTCTGAAAGCAAGAAGCTTTTACAGCCTCTGCACAGAGACCCAGACTCCAGGCCTAAAGGAGTGAATTCCTGTTTTCTAAGCATGAGGGAAAGGAGCAGCTCTCATGGGGCAGAAAGGAGGGTGCTTTAGGAGCAGCTTGCTGATGTCTTCTACTTCGCTTTCTCTTCCCAAGCAGGATGTCTCTGGGTCTCTTTGTGGCAAAGTTGGCTGAATATGTGTGATTAAAACTAAAGAGAGCAATCCAGTTTATAGTTATAGGCATTTGCACTTTATAAAATATATAGTTGTCACTTGGTACCTATAATGGATGGTTCCAGTACTCCCTCCCCCTAGATTCCCAAGTACACAGATGCTCAAGTCTCTTATATAAAATAGTGTTTTGCATGTAACTTATTAAATTCTCTCTTAATACTTTAAATTTCCATTAGATAATTTATATTAACCAATCCAATATAAATGCTATGCAAATAGTTTTATCATTTACAGCATAATGGCAAGGGAAAAAGTTTTTTTCCAAATATTTTCAATCTGATTCAAATCCAGGGATGTGCAACCTACAGATATAGAAGGCTTACTATTCTTTTTTTTTATTGGTACCAGGGATCGAACTCATGACTGCGTGCTTGCAAGGCAGGTGCTTATGCCACTGAGCTAAATCCCCAGCCCCAGGCTTACTATTCTTTTTTTTTTTGTCTTTTTCCTTTTTATCGGTACCAGGGATCAAACTCACGACTGCCTGCTTGCAAGGCAGGCGCTTATGCCGCTGAGCTAAATCCCCAGTCCCAGGCTTACTATTCTTTGTCTTTGATTTTTATATTGCATTGCTGAGGTAAGCAGGGTAGAGGTGGAAAGAAAAGCGTATTTTAATTAACTCAATATCTTAAACTGTTAGGACAGATGAACTAAGCCCTGAAAGGGCAATTGCCGTGACCTGGGTTTCATAGCAAGTTAGTATCATGGAGAGGTGTGCTGATATGCTGTCATTATATACAAGGCCCACTTCTAGGGGCAGTATATCCGTTACATCCTCATGAAACCCCTGTAAGGAAGGTTAAGGTTCCTGTCTTCATTCTATAGATGAGGGAGGAGAGAGGTTCATTGAGGGGAGGTGGTCAACACAGGGTCACACAGCAAGAACCAATACTTTCCCATTCCATCTGTCTACACTGCCTCTTGTGTGTGAGTTCAAGTCCTGAAGGTGTCATCCCTATGAAGCCTTGAAAAAAAAATCTTTCTTCTATGTAAACTGAGAATACCAATCCTCAGCCCTTTTGGGTTGGGAGGATCAAATGAGAGAATGTATTTTAGAAAGAAGCTTGTGGTTGCTTAGCTGTGTAGAAGTCACAGAAGTATTGCTGGTGTGATCCCTTGACCAGGCAGAAGCATTTTTGTGAACCCCATGTATGGGATTTAGGGCTCTGCCTCTTAAAATCTGAGAAATGTTACTTTCACCATGCCTGGCGTAGAAAGGGCACTGTATGCTACCCTTGATCTTAGCCAAAAGGCCAAGAAGGCGCTGCGTTCTGAAAACTCAGTTTTGGCTCCACAACATAAGGAGCATAGGAGCTAACCTGGAAGTGGGAAGATGGGGGCTCTACTTCCAGCTGGCCACTGTTTCACTGTGTGGCATCAGGCAGGTAGGCTGTCCATTCTAAGCCTCGTTTTTCTCATAGGACTAGAGTTTCGCTTTCAAACTTTGAAATCAGCAGAATCCTTTCTCTTGTAAAGTACTGGCACCTGAACATAAACCAAATTAAAGTAGCACTGTTGTGGTTGATGTGGGGAGGTTCTTGGGGCTCTCGTAATTGTCCATTCACCTGCATCCCCTTCTTCTTATCCTTTGTGCCCTTACTGTCATACACTTAGGTATCTCTGAGCTGCTCCAGCTCTCTAAGTCTAACTACTCCTTCTGTGGGCAGCCCTGGTTCTGCTGCAGGACTCCATCGTGTTTCTGGCCATTGGAATCAAGTTCAGCAAATGCCTGGCCATGATGACTGGCCTCGGCACCAGATAGCACCTGGTACCTCCCACCAGAGACCCTGACACCTTAGGTAGCCTATGCTGGATCCTAACAGAAGGCATATGCTTCCTGGAAAGCAGCCAGAGCACACACAAATTCTGTGTGTTTCCCCTAGGAAGTGTATACTCTGGAGTGTGTGTGCACAAGGGGCAGGTAGATACCTCCTTCTTGTGAGTGTCCCATCCACGTCACACAGGCTGCTCCAGCTGAGGGCAGTGAGACTCTGAGGCCCCTAGTGGTAACTTGCTTCTCTCAACTTCTCAGGAGAAGGCCATTAGCATCTGGGAGTCCAAGAATTTCTTCTTTGAACTTGAGCCTCTACCAGGGGCTGTGGAAGCTGTGAAGCAGATGGCCAACCTACAGAAGTAAGTCTGTCTTCGTGTCTGCACCCTTCCACTGCCTCCTCTCTCTTGTCAGTCCTGCATGTGGCCAGCCTAGCTGCTCATTGCTGACCCCTGTAAAATCCCTGCTGGACAAAGGCTGTGGGCACCAGGCTGCCAGCAGTAGCTGAGCTGGGGCTTTGGGTTCTGGGGTTCAAAGTCCAGGGAAACAGGTATTAAGCCAAGATGCATGCAGGAAAGATGACCACAGATTGTGCTGAGTTCTGCAGGGAAAAGACTGAACAGGAGCCCATACTTGGAAAGGGATGTTTAGAAATGAGGAGGTTGTTGGAGAAATTCTGGTTTTGTTCGAGTGAGATGAGAGGTTCTCAGTAACCATCACACATAGTCCACTGAAACCCATTAGCAATTGTGTAACATGCTTCCTTTAGAATGTTTTAAACACAGCACTGTTGACATACAACTCCTGTCCTGTACAATTCATTCATTTAAGTGTGTACAGTTTAGTTGTTTGCAGTAGATAGCTGTGTAGCCATTGCCATTTGTAATTTCAGAACCTTTTCTTTTCTTTCTTTCTTTTTTTTTTTTTTTTTTTTTTTTATCGGTACTGGGGATTGAACTCACGACTGCCTGCTTGCAAGGCAGGTACTTATGCTGCTGAGCTAAATCCCCAGCCCCCAGAACCTTTTCATCAACCTGAAAAAGAAACTTATACCCATTACTGGTCACTACCCATTCTGGACTTTCTTCTGAAGCCCCTGGCAACCACTGACTTTGTTCTTTTTCTTTTTTCTTTTTTTAGATTTGTCGGTTCTGAATGTTTCTTTCTTTTTTTTTTTTTTGGTGGTACCGGGGATCAAAATCCCGACCTTGCACATGCCAGGCAGGCGCTTATGCTGCTGAGCTAAATCCCCAGCTCTGAATGCTTCATACAAATAGTATCATACAGTGTCTTTTGGGTCTGATTTTTTTTCATAACATCTGCAAGATTTGTTCATATTGGATTATCCATCAGTATTTATTTTTTATTGTTGAATAATACTCCATTGTATACGTAGACCACATTTTATTTACTCATTCATCAGTTGATGAACATGCAGGCTCTTTCTGTGTTCTGGCTATTGTGAATACTATTTCTGTGAACATTTGTTTAAGTATTTGTTTCTTGTGTAGTTTGGTTGGTGACCAGAGTTGCAGAAAGTATTAACTTCCTGACTCAGAGTACCACTGTATTTATATCTTGTACTCATTTTATCAATTGGGTAATTAATTATTCCTTTAATTATTTTAAATTGTAACATTTATATATCCTAGATACAGATTTCTTCTCAGATATATGATTTTCAATTATATTCTTTCATTATTATATTTTACATTCTTTCATTATAGATTGTTTCACTTGACAATATGCTTTGAAAAACTTCTAGATTTTGAAACAGTCTCATTTATCTTTTTTTGTTGTATTAGGTATCATATTTAAGAAGCCATTGCCTAATCTAGGGTCATAAGAATTTTTCTCCTGTATTTTCTGTAAGACTTTTAATCTTAATCTAAATTTTAATTTTTAAAAATAACCCAAGTTATTTTTAAAAATAACTTGAATATTTAGATCTGTAATCTGTTTTCAGTTTTTATGTATGTTGTAAAGTGAGGATTCAGCTTTATTCTTTTGTACCTAGATGTTCACCTGCTCCAGCATACATTTTTTTTTTTTTGTCTTTTTGAGTTTAGCCTCTTACTAGGCAGTTCAGGCTAGCCTTGAACTCACTTTGTAGCTCAGGCTGGTCTGGAACTCGCAATGATCTTCTTGTCTCAGCCTCCTTCCTGAGTGCTGGGAATGCAGGTGTGTGCTACCACACTTGGTTCAGCATCATTTGTTTTTCAATTATTATTTCCCCTTAGAGTTGTCTTGGTACCCTTGTTTAGAATCAGTTGACCATAAATGTAAGTGTTAAATTTTATTTGCCACTGTTTTACTTGAATTTAGTAATCTGAGTAACAAATCAAATGTAAGATATGGTTTGGTCTTCAGTGTGCCATATAAATGCCTCCAAAATTTTTCAGCTTTAAAAATTTTGCTATAAATAGGTATTAGAGATACACAAAATGCCTGGAGTTTGTGTTAATTTATAGACCTTGTTTGATCTGTAATTTATCTTTGGACTTGAGTCCATACCCTGTAGAACATTATATTTGATTGTTTTGTGGTATGAACTTGAGTTACAGTGGATCATGAGAAGAGCCTGGAGAGGCAAAGAATTCATATACATTGGACCTCTCTATCTGTCCTTTCTACACTCATGAAATTAACCAACCTCAGATCAAAAATATTTGGAAAGAAATGATACATTGGTACTAAGTATGTGCTATGTATTTAGGCCTATTATGTTAGCTTTCTTTTACTGTAACAAACTACTATAACTGAATAACAAAATATTTATTGTGGCTCATAGTTGCAGAGATTTTAATCCATAGTCACTTGCTCCGTATGCTTTTGGGCCTGTAGTGGTAGAGAACATCATGGTGGGAGTACATGGTAAAAGGAGGTCTGTTTACCTCATAGTGGGAAGAAAACAGAAAGGAAAGGAAGGAATGGGGATCTCCTAATATCCTTTTCAAGGTCTTGCCCCCAGTGACCCAACTTCCTCTCTCTAAAGCCAACCACCTAAAGGTTCTCCCACCTCCTAATTGTACCAGGGGCCTAGGGCCAAGCCTTCAAGCATGGGGGCCTTTGAGGAACATTCAAGAGCTAAGCCATAGCCCCTCTGACGGTTGCACGTGTGCTGAACGTATGTGAAGTTTTTCTCTGCACAAGTCCCTAAACAGTGCTATATATATATATTTACATAGGATTTTCATTGTATTAGGTGTCATAAGTAATCTAGAGGTGATTGAAAATATATGGAAGGATATATGTAGGTTATATGCTAATAATATTATGTTTATATTTGGGATGTGAATATTGCTGGATTTTGGTATTGGCTGGGGATGAGAGTCTGGAACCAATCACCTACAGATATGAGGGGCTCCTCCAAACTTTCTGTATTCTTGTGCATCCTGGCTGCAGTCCCAGGACTATATTAGGTGCTGTGTGGTATAGTGGTTTAGAGTGAGGGGCTGTAGCTGGTCTGCTTTCTGGCTTCTGGGGAACCTGTCTCTTAGATCCTGGAGAAGTTATCAAAGCATCCTAGGTCTCAGTTTCTTTATCTGTAAAGTGAGAATGGTGAGAAAGTGCTCAGAGTAGCACCTGGCACACACTAGGTATTCAAAAGTAGCTGGTGCTCTCGTTATTTTGTAGGGTTTAGTTGGCACATGACAAGAAAAGCATTCTGAACTGACACAGCATGGAGAAGAGTGATGTCGTGTGTATTGTAGCAGGAAAGAAAGCAACTTTCATCCAGTTCAGTCTAGCCTGAAAGACTTATCAAAACTTCATTATTTTCACTTTCCTAGAAACTCCCAGTTTGGGAAATGCTAGTGTAGACCACACCCAGTGGACCCTTACAGTCCTTTGAGCACCTAATTTGATAGAAGATTCCCATGGTCTGTCAGTGCCCAGAGTTTGCACAAAGCCTGGGGTCTGGTTGAAGTAGGGTGGGTTACTGAATGTCTGGTGTGGAAGGAAATATGTATACTTTAGAACAAGAGATATGTGAGACCTAGGGAAAAAGACCAAGGCTTGTCTTTTAATGTCCCAAGTATTTATGAAGCATCTGCCGTGTACTTGGCCGTGAACTAGATACTAGGGGCACACAAATAGGTAAGAGAGAGAGTTCTTTTATTCTAAGCATTCACTGGTTCACTAGTCACTGGGAGGTGGATCTAAAAGCCTGGTAGTGGACTAATGGATGATAATGAACTAGTGGACATGTGAAGGCAGAATGGGAGTGCAGACAAGCAAGGCCTTGCTCCCTAGAGAAGGCCTTGACCTTGACTTTGGCATTGAAGCTGCATCTTGGAGAATGAAGAGGGGAACCTGCCAGGTGGAGGAGGGGCAGGGATCTTCAGATAGGCGAGAACTATGTGAGCAGAGGCTTACTCTTTTATCCGCAGTGTTTTCTCAAGCAGACTGCTTAGTGTGCCATCCTCGTTCCAGCAGCTCTGGACTGACAGTGCCTCTCTGTCAGGCCTCAGGTCCTGAAGAGCTTGCTTTGGGATGCATTTGGTGTCTAATCTTTTAATTATTCAAGAATATTGGAGTCACCTCTCATCCCCATTTTTGTCCTACTTCCTTCCCTTTCCCCTTCCTTTCTCTCTTCTCTTTCCTCTTCCACTCTGCCCAGTTTTCTATATTTTCTTCTTCGGTCTAGGGATTGAACCCAGGGCCTCACACAAGTGCTTTACCACTTTACCAAAAGTTATTTTTTTAAAAAGTTCTTGTTTTGAGACAGGGACTTACTAAATTGCCCAGATTGAACTTGAGTTTACAGCTCTCCTCCCTCACCCTAGTTCATTGCAGATTATTTTTCACCTTCAGTTCTGAGCACCAGAACGTTACCCCTGTTGAGAGACCTTTCCTGACTGCCATGGCAAGGGAGTTGCCCTCTCCTCCAGGTCATTCTGATCCCATTAGCCTGGGAGCATACTCTGTGTTGAAATTGTTACTTCTGTGTTTGTCCCTTCCTCTTTCCAATGTCAGGTGCCTGAGGTTAGACATTATCTGGTTCTGATTCTATTCTCAGTCCCCAAAATGACACTAGCTACATAGTATGCACCCAAAATGTTTGCTAAATGAATAACACTTAAGGGTATGTATTAACATAATCATAGTTCTTAGCCCTTTTTAAAAATATAGAGGGCCTGGGATTATAATTTAGTAGTAGAACACATGCTTAGCCTGCATGAGATCCTAGATTCAATCCCTAACACCAAAAATGAATGAATGAATGAACATGGGTGGAGCTGGGCACAGTATTTTGAGTTTATCCCAGCAAAAGATAGAGACCCGAGGAAGTTATAGCTTGTGTCCAGATGTCCCCCTAAAATCTCATGTGGTCATAGGTGGGGGGGCTTTTTTAGAAGTA